GTCTCTACAATCTCTTAGATGCCATTTTTCAAATATAATAACCAGAAATATCAGCCAAAAAGTCAACTAGAAATCAATTAATATATAAATAATTGTCCATTAGTTAGGCAATAGCACACTCTAGTGGACATAAATCAAATTATGCCTTAAGGAGAGAAAAAAAGTTCACGACAAGTTCTAGAAATCTATTACCTTGTTTACAAGTCTGTCCCAATCAGCGCAAAGCAGATAAAAAAAGACAACTTTCTCATGGAAATGCATAGATCTAAATATAGTACAACAAAAGTAGATTCACACTCACAAAAAAATGCCAATAAAAGAAACACACATTGATCTTCATGTATTAAATCTTGCAAGACACTTTTCATTCTTTCAGTTAGAATCATAGTAAATGTTTTGTAATCATTATTCAGTAATGAAATTGGTTGATGATTTTTTGTTAAGGTCGGATCTTGACCTTCTTTTCTTCTCTCTGTCTTTTCAATTTGACATTCTGCCATAAAAATTGACCTCTCATAAAAGCTTTACATGCATCCCATGTTGCCCTTATGTCTGTACTTTTATGTAGATTATTCTTAAAAAATATTTCAGTTTTTTTTTACAGTCCTCAATTACTGATTCTTTTTATAACTAAGTCTCATTTAACCTCCATATGTAAGTTCTGCTTTTCTCCTTATATGTCAGTTACTGGATTATGATCTGAAAAAGGTTTTGGTAGTATCTCTGCTTTACTAATACATATAGCTGATTTCTTAGGAACCCCAAACATATCTATTCTTGAAAAAGATCTGTGTCTTTCAGAAAAGTACGTATATTCTTTAGAGTTACTATTTATGTGTCTCCATATATCTATGAGTTTAAAGTTCTCCATCATTTCAAAAAATATTTTTGGCAGTTTACCTTGCATTAGTTTGATTCCTCTCACAGAGGTTCTATCTAGTTCTGGACAAACCACTCCATTCCAGTCTCCCAGGAGACCCCAATTTTCATAAGTCAGATCCATTAATTTTTCCATAATTCCTTTAAAGTACATCGTTTTGTTTTAATTGTGTGCATATATTCCCATTATCATAATTTTAGTCTCATTCCACTTTACTCCTACGTATCTACCAATGTCATCATTTATTATAAATTTTGGTTGTGATTGTGGGTTTATGTACAAAACAACCCATTTTTCTTCACTGATCTTGCAGATATAAATTGTTGTCCCAAACTTTTGTAAACTTTTGTAAAACTGCCCAGAGTCACTCTTTCAGTAAGATGGATGGTGACTAAATTTGAAATATAAATAAATAATTGGGGAGGTGGGCGGCATACAAATTTAATAAATAAATAAATAATAATTTTTCATCCTTTTTTCTTATATGGATTTCCTGTAAGCATGGTACATCTTGTTTCAGTTTTTTCAAATAATGAAATACTTTTTCTTCTCTTTTGAGGAGTGTTGGGTCCATTTATATTCCATGTTAGGCATCTAAAATCCATATCTATGTTGTAAGCTTGGAAAATTCTATGCCTGTGGCCCCTAACTTAGTCGTCTCACAGAGGTTTTGAGAGGCAGAGGGGATGAATATAATGCCAGCCATCTGGTGGGTAGTCGGGCTGCAAGTTTTTCAATTTAAACTCAGTGCTGCATTGCCAAGACAGAATTCCCCCACTGTCCCTTTTTCTCCTTAAGATCACAGTTAGCAATATTTGCAATTCATCTAGGAAGCTTGGATCAAGTTCATCTTCAAATGTTTAATTCCACATTAGGGTTAGGTTTTTTTGTGGGGGGGAGACAGCTAGTTTTTGTTACAGATTTTTGTTGGCCCGTGGTTGTTCGATTTGGTTGTTTGATTTCTGTTTTAGGAATGCATAAAACCAATCAAAGTTGACAAGAAGCCTGGGAAAGCAGCAGCTAAGATCCGTATTGAAGATGATGGAAGTTACTTCCAAGTTGACCAGGTAAAGTTTTTCTTTCCCTTGTGTGAGTGTGTCTTGGGGACTATAGAACAAGCCTTTTTCAACATTTTTTACGGTGGTCCGCAACTGTGCAGCACAAACCAACTTTAGCAGGATTTTTGCTGTGCTGGAAGGAGCTCTAGATTTGAGGAACCACTCAGGTGGTTCGTTTTTATCATAATCAGAAAATTATCTTTGTTTTTGCTGCGGAACCCAAGCTTGTGACAGCTGATTAGTGTCCTCAAGGATACAGTCTAGCAGAAATCTCTCTGTGGAGCAGAGCAAAAGAACTCTGTAACATCTCTATTGTCCTTGACGGGGGAATTATGTAAGAAAAATGGGAAGTGACCAGGAGTGTCTGTGTGTGTGTATGTGTGTCAGAAAGGTCAAGATGGTAGCCACGACTGTGCTGCACATAAGAAAGGGGTGGGGGCTCATTTGTGCAGTCACAGCTATCATCCTGACTTTTTTGACCTTCCCTGTGGATGCCCATCGTAATTACTTTTTTCAGGATGCTTACAAGCTGACCGCCGTCCCTTCGATGGCTTCCTTCCTAGGATGGAGGGTCACAAAAGTTGGAAAAGGCCAAAATTACTCTCAATGACTGTTTGGCTTGCAGTGGCTGCATCACATCGGCAGAGAGTGTCCTGATCACTCAGCAGAGCCATGAAGAGCTCTGCAAAGTGTTAAATGCCAATAAGGTATGTGGTTCAGTATTTTAGTAATATGAATTCAACAGGGCTGAGGGAATAAATTGGATCCAGGGACCCAGAGACAGTGTGTTCGAGTTGAGGCTTTAATTTTGATGCCTGCACCAAGCAGGGACTTACATCTTAATGGCCTCCAACTTTCTCTTTTTCTGTTGCAATTTTTTAATCATTATCTACCTTGAGTGCCCTATGACTAGAGGAGTTAAACTGTAAAAATAAATGAATTCTTGCCCAGTTCCTACAAGATCAGTGGATGAGTTTTATAAATGAACTTGCCAAAGATTCTGAAAGAGTTGGCTTTTCTTTTCATTCCTTGCTACTACAGAGGGCAAAAACAAGTTCTTCCTGTTCTCCTTTGCACTTGAGTAAAGGAGTAAATTATTTTCAAGCCAGCAGTAGTATGTTCAGGTGTGCTGCCTCTCACTTTTCATGGCAGTCCAAATGAGATTCCAGATAGAAAGAGCCTTTTTCCCTGGCCCTGAAATTCCCTGCTGAGCTTTGTTACCCTTCCACTGGAAGGCAGATGTGTTTTTGTTAAAGCATTGATTGATGTGTGTTTGTTTTAATTATAGTTCTGTTAGTGCCCTAGGAGGTGGTAGCCTCTGGCTGATGTTACCGGAGCTCCAGAACTAAGGAGAGTTGGGCTTGTTTAGAGTTTGGATGGGAGACCATGAGGAAACCTCAGGGCTGTAGGTTAAGACTCCCTCCCTACCAAAAAAGAGCGAGAGGGAGGGAGAAAGAGAGAGAAAGAAAAAATGCCCTAGAAAGACATTACCTTTAATATTACCCCTTAGCTCCTCTGGCAAAGAGGTATAGTTTATCAAACACATGGAAATATTTCGCCTGCTTTATGTTATACAAATATCAGCGTGTTAGGCCACTGGAGTTACGTTTTTTTCTTCCCTTGATTTTTTTTTTTAAACTAAAAGGCATCCACTTCTTCCAAGAAACTGGTGGTGGTGTCTGTATCTCCACAGTCTAGAGCTTCTTTAGCTGCAAGATTCAAACTGACTCCCTTAGACACAGCCAAGAAGCTGACAGGCTTCTTAAAGAATTTAGGTGAGTAGTGTTCGATTTGAACATGGTGCTGAGAGGTTTGCATATAAAGGCTGCAGTGTCATCTCTCAGCCACTTTGCTCCTTAAAACTCTCAAAAGGGATGATAAGCCTGTTAACCTGATGAAATAATCCAAATCAAAGTCATTTGTGTGTTGCACCTAAGCGGTATTAATAGCAGAAATTTGGGGAAAGTGAGGGGAAAAAAAACAAGTTTAAAATACTTGCTCCCTTTTATATTTTTGCTCATCTTATGCCAAATTATAATGATAATTCAGTCATATTTCTGGGAAGTTGTGAATACTGGTTTATGCTGTTTCAAAACACTTTTGCAGAGAAATCGAACATTCAGTGCTGCAAATGTAACGCTAATACTTTAATTTGCATTCAAGACTGTGGGGAGGCTGGGAAAAGAATGGAAGAGAGAGCAGTGAAAAGAGCCAAGCGATAGAAGGTGAATCTGATGGCAACCTATCTCATAAATGGCAACTCAGCCTACGTGGCAGGAAACTGGGAAGAAGCATTTCAAAGCATGTAAAGAACTCACTATAAATGAGGCTGGGAAATTCTTCTTATGGTTTTCAAGATTCTGTTCCAGGCTAGCATTAAAGATACCTTAGTGAAATCTGTACAATTCTTCCTAGTTGTCTTGCCCAGCTGCACAGGGCTTGACATGAGCTACTGAAATAATAGAATCATGCATCCTATGAAATGTTGCTGCTGATTGATGGCTGCAGCCTCTTCCTTGCTGCAGTTGAGTTGACCAAATGTCAGCCTGAAATGCACCTCCTCGTAGTACCTACTCAACACTTCTCTTCCTCCTCTCTTACTAGGGGTGCACTATGTCTTTGACACAACTTTCTCCAGGAACTTCAGTTTGCTGGAGAGCCAGCGGGAATTTGTGCAACGTTTCCGGAAACAAGCAGAAGATAAGAAGGCTTTGCCCGTATTAGCTGCTGCTTGCCCTGGTAAGTGTCTCACGGCACCAGAGGGGAGTGAAGACTGAAGCAAGGCTCTCCTTGACTTAATGTGCCCTACGCCTAACCACCATAACTGGCTCCAATTCTGGGCACCACATTTTAAGAAATTTCAGCGAACATTTTAGAGAAATGCAAAGGTAATTAGAGAAGAGCAAGCAGTGTGATCAGGGAACTAGAACAAAGTCGTTGGAGGGAGACAGAGAGATGGGAATGTCTAGTAAGGTTGTGCACACCTTGAAAAGGATTTGGAAGAAGTGCTTCAGCTCTTGTGTTGGCATAGCATCTTCTGTCATTCATTTTTGAGTATGACTTTTTTCAGGCCTCTGAAAGAAACTGGAAATACGTAGCTATTTCTTTAAGGTGTCACCTCATTAAAGTGAATGAGAGTTAATAGAAGATTGGGGCTGTGCTTGCATTTATGCAGATCCAAAGCATGTCTTCCAAATTATTTTAGCCTTGTGGAGAGAAGGCTGAGGGGGAAATGACAGGATTTTTATGTACCTGGAAGGGTTGTCATCCAGAGTGAGGGACCCTGATCTAAAATTAAAGCAAGGCAGATTCCAACTGAATATTAGAAAAAACTTCCTAATGTAATAGCAGTTCACAAGTGGCCAGTCTAGGTTGGGAGTTTTGCATATAGGTAGTCCTCAAGTTACGACTGCAGTTGTGACTGGATTCCTGTCACTAAGTGATACAGTCATAAAGCGTGATATCACATGACTGCATCACTTAGCAATGGCAATCCAGGCAGTCCTGGTTGTTGTCTAACCCAAGACACATCAGTCATTAAGCAGGAAGCGGAAGGAGTCCCAGGTAAGGAGCGCGGAGGTGCTGCAGGTGGGTGGTGAAGGCCCTGGGAGGCCCAGCACAGGCTGTGCGCAAATCAGGGGAGAGGGTGCTTCATGTGGTGTGAGCTCAGAAAGGCTAGAGAATGAGGGCGTGGGATGCATGTGAACGCAGGGAGGCCAAGGAAAGAAGGTTAAGTGTGTGTTTGCATGTGTGTGATTGCAGGGAGGTCAGGGAAAGAGGACACAGGATATGTGTGTGCATGTTGTGATCCCAGGGAGGCTGTGGAAAGAGGGCTCAGAGTACGTGCATGAATGTGAGTGCAGGGAGGCTGAGGAAAAAGGGTGTGGGGTACACGCATACATGTATGCGATTGCAAGGGAAGGAGTATGTGATCGCTGTGAAAGGAGGGTGTGGGGTGTTTGCACATGTGTGAGTGCAGGGAGGCAGAGGAAAGAGGGTGCAGGGTTTGTGCGAGCAAAGCAGGGAAGAAGGTGCAGTATGAATGAAGAAAGGCTCAGCCCAGTGACTTGCAACTTCCTTGCCTGCTTCCCATTGATTTTGCTTGGGGGAAGCTGGCAGGGAAGGTTGTAAATGGTGATCATGTGATCAGTGGGTGCTTGGCAACTGGTCATAACTGCGTATGGGTTGCCAAGCATCCAGATTGTGATCACATGACTCAAGGATGCTGGGATGGCCACAACTTCAAGGTCCAGTCATACATCTCCTTTTTCAGCACTGTGGCAATGTCGAATAGTCGTAACTTGAGGACTACTTGTACAGATAGTTGTTGCTTAGTGACTGCCTTGGAGATTACCATTCGCAGTTATGATAGTGATGAAAAAGTAACTTTGCAACCAGTGCCTGCATTCATGACCTTTGCAGCATCTCTCAGTCACATATTTGCCATTGCAGTGGGCATACATCTGTCCTGTGCTGTCCCCTATCTCTTCTCTCTCTCTTCCACCCCCCACTCCCCACCAACAGAGAGTTTGGCTAAACAAGCTATCTCTTCCTGAGCTGCTTTTCTCTGCCTGACACTGACAAGAGCCTAATCGATTTCTTTCGCTTGTAAGTGGCTGGGGCTCCCAGCCAAGTGCCCTAGGTAAACAGCTGGAGCTAGCAAATTCCTTTTGATGTGTATTCCCCATTGTGTGCTTCCTTACTCTCTCCAATGAATGTAAATACAAACATGAATTCCCTTCTTGCTAATTATCCCAGTATTCCAAAGGGCAGAGTGGGGAAAAAGGGCTATAGGGTTTGCCTTTTCACCTGGCTTCCTCATGAATCAAGTTCCAGAAACCTTCCCTGCTGTTTGGGCTCACCTGGCTGTTTGGAGTCATATCCTTCTGATGCTGTAAGCAAAGGGAAGCTTAAGTAAAATCGTGGTCGCCTTCATGCGATTTTTCATTTAGTGACCGCTTTGTTTAACGACCAAGTTGCCAGTTCCAGTTGCGGTAGCTAAATGAGGACTACCTGTACTTGCTTTTTCAGAATCAAGTAGGCAATCTTGAGACTTACATAGGCCCCACCTGGCTTCCATACTGTGAGAGATGTTGCAGAGGCTGGGAAAGGCATGAAAAAAAAGAGGAGACATAATGGATCAAGAGACAGAAGATTTTGTAAACAGCATTCAGCCTGTGGGGTGGAGGGGAAATGGGAAAAAGTGTTTCACAGTGTTTCACTGTGCCTTCATGAACTCACTGTGAAGGAGGCTGGGAAATTCCTCTTGCAATTTCCAAGATGCTGTATTTATGTCAAAAGTAGCATTCAATATACCATACCAAAATCTGTGTAGTTCTTGCTTCTGTTGTCTTGCCCAGCTGTGTGGGGCTTCATATGTATTTACGTGTCTGGTTATATTCAGTTTAATGGGTGGGAAAATGATTCCTTGTGTAACTCTTTCCCATATTTTTAAATTGGGTCATGGCCCATCTTTGCTATATAGCTTTCATTGATCTAAATCAGAGATGGACAGCAGGATTGGTTTAATTCTTAAAAATGTTTCTCTTACAGGTTGGATCTGTTATGCTGAAAAAACCCACGGGACTTTTATCATCCCATATATCAGCACTACCAGATCACCCCAGCAGATCATGGGCTCCCTGGTTAAGGACTACTTTGCCAAACAGCAGGTATTGCTCTCGCTCAAACTTTTCTCACAAGGGAGCGGACATAATAGGAAGTTTGGAAGCCACCGGAGCCAAAGGATAAACTGGCAAATGCACTACAAAGATCAGCTGCAGCTGTAGCTCAGAGCCTTTGCTCCCCCTGCAAACACAGAATTTGCTGTTTCTGTTTCGTGTGTGTGTTTTCCCAAAGGGGTAGCCAGCTGTTTCTTTCCTATGAAATGATCTACCCATGATGTGAATGCCCTCACTGGGACGGGTTTAGACCAGTCGTTCTCTATCTCTCTTCTGATAGATAGAGGTTACACCTTCCAGAATCCCCTAACCATCATCTAGAGAGAGCAGAGGGGGAAAGAGGTATAAACGCTTTGGGGAAGGAGAAGGATGAGCTGTGTGGTTAACCTCTGATTGCTAGACAGTTCAGGTCCCAGATTGGGAGGTGGTCCTGTCCTTTGTTCACTTGCATCCACTGTTGGAAACAGGAATTAGGACTAGGCATTATTTTGCCAGTTTCAGTGCAGTTTTGAAACTCTCTTGTTCCAGTGCCTGACACCAGACCAAATTTACCATGTAACTGTGATGCCTTGCTATGACAAAAAGCTAGAAGCTTCCAGGCCAGATTTCTTCGTTCAAGAGCACCAAACTCGTGAGGTTGACTGTGTGATTACCACAGGTAAAGTGAAGATCTAAACAGTCTTTGAGAGGGAAGGACCCTAGTTCTCCTGCCTTGATCCCTTTCATGAATTAATTCTGCTCTGACGGAAATCTCGGTGGAGGCCAGGGTCTCATTTGTCACAAATGGAGAGGTGAAAGTTCCAAATAAGTACTGTTGCCACACAACTGGGGGCAAAGAGACAATGCAGATTACTCTCTTGATGTATTTACGAGGGGTGTGCAAATAAAATGTGCAACACTTTGAGTTAGAAATCAATTTTTCTCACACATCTGGATTTCTGAGTTCAAAATGTTTTGAGTTCAAAATGAGATGGGGTTTTTTTGCTCCAACCATGTCAGATTTGGGACATTTTGTGCAGCCCTAGTATTTACCATAAGAAGGAATCTGTTATTTATTTTATTTTTAATAGACTACCTGATCCCATAGACTTGAGGCAGATCCCAGAAACCTGGTTATTTCTGCCTCCAGCAAGCTTGCAATCTAAGTAATGGGTTGAACATGGCTTCAAGATACAAAGAGGAGCCGGTGACTGGAAGAAAGGATTGTATTCTCTTTGGTAGCTAGAGCAAACCCAGGGCAGGGGGTCAACTGGACAAATCCCTAACCCTGTTTTTTCTAGCCATAGGACTTCCCCCCCACCACTGAATTTTAGTTCCTATTATTTGAGAGCATGTAACATAAACTAAAAATAGTGTTAACATTTCCTTTTTAACAAAATAGAGGTTCCCCCCTAGTAGGAAAAATAAATAAAATAAACATAAATCAAATATTGGATTCATGTTAATGATGTACAACTCATTTAGCTTTCTTGCTACAGCCACCTAGAAGTTGTCCCCTCTGTGCCAGCGAGGCTTACACGGGATTGCCTTGGAATCCTGTGAAGCTTCTCGTCTCTGTTCTGGGCCAGGGCTTGGTCTCTTCGGTCTGCTTGAGGTTGATTGTCACATCTCTTTTCTCTGTTTCAGGAGAAGTCTTAAAGTTGCTGGACCAGGAGGGAGTATCCCTTCCTGAAGTGCATCCTGTGCCTTTGGATAGCATGTAAGAGCCACTGAGAATTCTTCTGTTTGCTAAGTTGCAGTCTGTTTTCTCCAGCTTCTTCTGCAACATATTCAGCTAAAGAGGAGTCTCTGTGGCCAGGAGAAGCATGATGCACCCTTCTTCTTGCCATTACAGCTCACTAACAGATGTATCCAGGTGCCTTGACCAAGTGAGCTAGTTTTAGTTTTGTCCTGGCTGTACTCACTTTGATTTGGAGTTGCACACCTTTTTAAAGGCCAAGTTTGGCCCAGGAAAAATTGTTCATCTCAACTCAAGAGTGTGGCCAAGGTGATCTGTCCTCTTCCAACTGTAACTCACAGCATCCCTCACTAATGGGGTATGCTGGAGTTAGAGATCAGCCACATCTGAAAGTGTTCACATTTGCCACCTGTCTAGTGATAAGCAACTAACCGTGTCTGCTGCCATTCCAGAAGAGGCTGAGGGTGGCTTCCAGTGGTGAGGTTTGGATGCAGTGCTGATGCCCTCTCCTCTCTCTCTAAATTGGGCTTTGCTTTCCCTGGCACACTGCTGGGCATTTGGTGATATGTAATATTTAAGGGCAACACCTAGCTAGCTTGGGCTGCTGTTGGAAAGTTTAAACAGGACTGGACCTGGTGAACACTTAGATGGGTGACCACCAGGAAGGTGAAGGGCTGTAGACTAAACTGAGAAGTGAAAAAACTTCCTGGAAGAAGATGGCAGAAATCCATTCCCATAATGTGCCCAAGAATACTTGGAGTCACTAGAGCCCATTGAATAGTAGCCCTTAGCCAATCTTGGGTGGTCTTGGAAAAGCTAATCCCATGATTGTTGACTAGATTGGGAAGTCAAGAAAAGGAAGCTACATGGATCTAGCATCCATGGAGTTGAGTTTGACTTTATGGCATTTCTGCTGTAGGTTTGGCAACCTTTTAGAAGAACAGCTCTCTGGCCATTCTGGAGGTGGCTCTGGGGGGTACTTGGAGCACACGTTCAAGTATGCAGCAAAGGAGCTCTTTGGCATTCCAGTAAAGGAACTTCACTACAAGACCCTGAAGTAAGGAGTTCAAGTTGCTTCATAGCCCTTCTGCCCCACCCTCCTCCTGCCTCTCTCTCCATTCCCAGAAGGGAACAGGGGAGTGACATTCACTCAGATCAATGGTAGTACACACCATTGTCTTGTGACCCCTGCAACCCTTTCTGTTGTTCCAGATTTCGGTGGTAAAACTGTCCTAGTTCATTGGTTTGATTTCCTACTCTTTTGAAGCTTTATGAAATAATTTGTGAGGTGCAATCTGTCAAGACTGGGCTTTTTCTACCTTGTGAGTCTGCGGCATCAGTTTCGAAGATCAGGGGGCATCACCTAATGGCTCTGCATAGTTTTAAAAAAGAAAAGACCCCCTCCCCCAAGCCCAGGAGTTAAAATTTTGACCTTGCTTATATGCCCAGCGCGCTTTATATCACTGCCTGGCCCACTGGGGCTTTCATCCCTTCTATATGAAGTACCTCCCACCCCACCCCCACCAGAAGGCCGCTGAGCCCTTAGATTGAATAGCTGCTGCCTGTGAGTGCTCGGACCCTTGCCAGTGCAGTCCCACAAAGAAGTGCCAGGTATTGCTGGGCTCTGCGAGCAGCAAGAAAGGCATTTTCTCCTCCAGCCAGCTTCTCATTTGGAGGGTACGTTTCCTGTCTGTTTTTCCCCAATTCATGATGCTGCTGCAGCCCAGCCTGCTTTCTGCTCATGAGCCTGGCAGGAGAAGGAACAGTTTGGCTGTCATCTTCTATGTTCTTTAATGTTCATCCATCCAGAAACAAGGATTTTCAAGAGGTGACACTGGAGAAGGATGGCCAGACTCTTCTGCACTTTGCCCTGGCGTATGGATTTCGGAACATCCAGAACTTTGTGCAGAAACTGAAACGTGGAAAGTTGCCCTACCACTATGTCGAGGTGATGGCTTGTCCCTCAGGTGAGGATGGCTACAGGTGTGATGTGGCAAATTGCTTGAAGGGAAGAAAGAAATGCCGGATACAGTGAACTAGAGCTCTGTGGGGATATTTAAGGGATCCCTTTAAGAGAGTAAGTGGTGGTAATAGTGTTTCCACTGGGGCTACACGGGTGCCAGTGTGCCCTGCAACGTTTTCCTTGCCAATAAGAATGATGCAAAACAGTTATTTCCAAGAATGCCTTTGGTTCACAAATAGGTCTTGGAAACTTACTTAGAAAATGAAACTGATGGGCAGTGGCAATTCAGGGCTTGGTTTGGATGCTTATCCCCCATCAACCACCCTGCTAAAACCCAGGTAAGTAGAGGCCATAGGCAGTGTCCTGCATATCCACATTTTGTGAGCAGTCCCCCCTTTTCCATTTTATACCTAGACTAGCTCCATGCTTCCAACGTACAATGTGCTATCAAAAGTCCAACATCCCCTAGCCTCCCTTCAAGTTAGCAACTGCAAGTTTAAGCTAAATACTTTATTTGCCTTCAGCTGTAAACCCTTGTTTTCCAGGGTGCTTAAATGGAGGGGGACAGATCAGAGCAGAAGGTGAATCCGGCAAGGATCTGTTCCATCATGTGGAGAGACTGTACGAAATGGTCCATCCAGAAGACCCTGAGATGAACAAAGCCATCAGGGACCTCTACGACCAGTGGCTTGGTGGTCCCACTTCTGAGCAGGCTCAAAAGCACCTGCACACACAATACCATGCTGTGGAGAAAGCCAGCACAGGCTTTAGTATTAAGTGGTAAAGTTGCTCAGCCATGTGTTATCTAGCAGATTCCTTGCTGCTCCAGATGAGGCTGAGAGAAGTTTCATTCTTAAGCAGATAGCAGTGACATCAAATATTTGAATTTTAAAAAATTGTAAAGTGAGGATCTGGCTTCAAATCAGGCAACAGTGCTCCCCAAACCAATTTCTTCTACCTCACCAGATCTTATACTGGACTGTGTAATTCTTCCATCAGTTTACCCCTTCTACAGCCTCACCACTTTATTATTTTTTTTCTCACTCCCACAGAAGGTTAGAAAGAATTTATAAAAGGAGCTCACCATCTGGATAACTCTGTGAAAGCAAAATGGAACCAGACCAAATTTGGCATTCAGGGAGAAGGCACCAAAGGAAGAGTTTGAAAATGGTTTGGGTCCCTGTGGGGGCTACGGAGAAAAAAGAACCCTGAAAACCTCCCCCCCCCCATGCATCTAGGTGGGCGGAGCAGTTGAATGGCAGCTTGGAATGCTGCCAGGTCCTCCATTTTGGCTGCCCCCTCCTAGTCACATGACCCAGGGTGGAGCACATAGGTGCCCTTGGCCAACTGCACGCAATGTAGGGAGAGCAGAAGCGCATAAACCCGCCCTGATTGGACTCTCATACATATACATAATGGCTTTGTATATGCATACTCGAGCTTGATGATGTCTCCGAGTGATGCTTCATCTTTACAAAGGCTACCCAAAAATTGGCTGCCATGTGGGTAAGAGGCTTTGTATCGGAAAGCAATAGCTTGATATCTGCCTGGGTGCTGGAGTTTTCTATAAAAAGTAAGAGAGGTGCAGCACAGTGGAATGGTTGCATTGTTTCAGTCTCCCCAGCTTTATGTGGGGAGTGAGCATGCGCAACTAAGGGAATTGCAGACACTGCACGAGAACAAAAGGGAGAAAATATGCTTAGGCCTAAAAAATTCTTCAGTCTGGTGAAGGTGAATATATTCAGGCTTGGAGACAGATTGTGCGATCCGCTCTGGGATTCTATTGACCTCACTCTGACAGTCCATGTGATTCATTTATTTTTATGAGCATTTGCACACTTCCTATCGTCCAGATTCTAGATAGCTTACATTTCGCCTTTGGAGATAAACTTGATTAGCCTGTTCCCATCTGTTAAAAAGATGCAGGCCCATGTTAAAATACTTTCTAAATTTCTACAAAGTACTGAACTACTGCTCTGAGTGAGGGATGTGGGTCGGAGGGTGTTCAGAAGACAAACCTGCCTTGTGGCTCAGGGCTTTCCTTTCTAACTCACGATGTTTCCCCCCACCAGTCTGTGGCTCCTTTTGAAATTGCTTATGGACAGGATGGTGAAGCTTCAGCCTAAGACCGGGAGCCCCAGGCTCAAATCTGTCCTCAGCCATGGAAGGTAGCTGGGGGGTTTGAGGTCAGTCTCGCCAATCATCTCAACCTACCAGATAGGGTTATTGTGGGAAATTTTGGGGGAGCGAATGGTACGTATGCTTGCTTTGAGTTCCTGAAGGAAAGGCTGGATTCAGTCCCAACAGAACAAACTTTTTAAAAGCTTCCTTTAATTAAAAGTGAAGAACAAATAGCTGTCATTCAGTTCATGGCGCGGTGAGAGGCAGGCGATGACGTATTTCCCTCCTCCCTCTTGTACAGCTCCATAGCTCCTACCTTCTGCACAGGAGGAAGGAGTTACCTTCCAAGCTCATCGCCACGTTTTCAGCGGGGCAGTTAAGAATTGGGAGGAAAGGATGCTGCTTTACTTCTCCATTTGCAGAATGGAGGGAGGCCACTTTGCCTTGGCAAGCACCTGCAGCATTTGGCACTGCTGGAAACAGGCTGCTGTCTGTATTTGCTGCACATTTCAAAAGAATGGGAGAGCTGTGTGCCAGTCCCAAGACTCAGAACATCTGAAATGGGACACTCCTCCCAATGCTTTTAGATGTCCCCTGCAACCCGTGCTCAACTTTTTCTAACAGTGCGGAGGAGGAGGGAGCGAGCCCTTCAACGACAGCGCCTGTGCCCCCCTCGTGGCAGATGGAGGGGGTTCACTTCTGCAGGAGTGGATCAAAAAGCCCCCACTCAAATGCCAGCACGGCCTGAGGATTCAGCTGCTCTTTGGGTTTCCGGAAGCTCTCTTTGGCCTTGCAGAGAGCGGCGAAGGCCTCACCAGGAGCAGACTTGCCCGTGAACTTCTGGACAGGTTCTTCCCTGAAACAGCAGACAGGGCCCGTTTAGCAACCCCAAGGGACAGGTCCTCACCAGGCCTTCAGATGTACTGTGCTGGTAGCACAAATGGAGCTAGAAGAAGCTGTAGGTCCTCTGCAAAAACCAGCCGGCTCCCCAGCGGGAACAGGAGGCGCCGAAATTGTTCTTACTTCCAGATGCAACCCCCACCCTCTTGAGCTAAGCTATCTTTTGTAGAGCAGGGATGTCTGCTGTGGCATGATAATGGGACTGAAGCCCTGCCCTTGTTGTGTTTAAACACAAAAAAGGCAGGGCTTCAATCGCATGGTCAGGTCCACAACTGACTTTCTTGATGTCCCCCTTGCAGACCTGGAATAAACCACAAAGGGCGATTCTGGCATGATGCTCTGCCGTAGTGAGATTAGTTTGTCTTGGCTTAGCTCAATGGGTCAGTCCAGCTAATGGACAATGGCAACTCCCATTCCCTACCTATTCTGGATTGTGACTTGTGCGCCCAGCTTCTTTCCTCAAGATTATGCTTCAGCTGTGGAGCGTTTCTCTGTGATCCCAGAGAAGATGGGTAAGGTGTCGTTGACAAATGCTACCTGAGCACCCTGGGGACCCACTTCCCCCCTTCAAATCCAAGGTGCTGTATACCTTTAATATAAGATGAAAGGAAGCATTGGCTGGGTTTACACAACACGCTAGATGGGGATATAATTGTAGTGGGAACCCAACTCTTGTCTTAGCATCTTGTTAGAACATGGCACGCCCGAGTAGGATCTATTTGGCCACCACACTTATGTAAATATAGCCACTGTATAGGGGTAATTTGGGTTTGGGGTACAGTGCGTTGTGTGAACCCAGACAAAACAGACCCTTTAAGCCTGAAGCGCAGGGATTCAGATGCTGGATGGTCCAGGGTGACCCAAGCTCAGATCCACTAAGGATGTGCTTTGCCTTTGATCTGAAGGGCAGCAATGTCCCCAAACCCACCCTCAGCCACGAAAGCTGTGCTAGTCAGTCTCTCAGCCCACCAATCTCATAGGGTGGTTGCGGTTGGTGGTGGGTGCTAAGTACCTTGCCTTGAACTCCTGGAGGAAAGCTGGGATAGGAACCAAAGAAAAAATGCCCCCCCCCCGCATTAAAGAAGCATGGGCTCACGAGGTGCGAAGGAAAGGGTTGTAGAGGAACTCCTCTGCCAGCGTAGAAGGCACCGTTGGAAGGTCTTCATCCTCTCGGAGCTGTGAAAGAATAAATCAGTGAGACCTTTTCCAATGTACCAAATCCTTGTAATTGACCCAGAGGATCAGCAAAAGGCATATGGGACGAGTACTACCTATGATGCAGCAAACTGGGGTGTTTCCAAATACCCCTGAATACCTCTTTAAAACAAGCAATGGATGCATAAAAGGAGCGGGGTTTCAATGATGTGGCCATCCCGAGTTTTTTTGCCTCCTCCCCACCACAGATGCCCCTACCAGCAGTTGTGGTTTGTAATCCATTGTTCGACCGCTTAGCATGATGCGTTCTGCCACCAGTGTTGGCTTATTCCACAAGCCATGGCCTAGCAGGACCTGTGAAGCAATCACTAAGCCAATTCCCCACTGTGACGTTACTGGCCATAATTCTGACTTTTATAAAGGGTTAATCTATAGTCCTGCCCTCATTTTGGAAAGACAAGAAAGCGAGAGAACAGTAGAACCACTCACTTTGGCCCAAATGAGCTTTTCTTTGACGAATTCATTTTCTGGCTCCACCTTTAAGGCAAATTTCAAATTCCGGGTGGTGTACTCATGCCCGCAGAAGATTTTCTGAAAAGCAATTTTTTTTTCAGGCCGCCATGTTAAGAGCAATTCACCTTGGGGTCCCCTTCTACCCCCAAACTTATTCGCTGTGATCCCCAAAGTCCCCAGTGATAGCTGTCAAAAATTGGAAATGTGGTTTCTCACATTTTGAGGAAGTAAATACACAAAAAGGCAATGTAATCCATAAAATAAGTTAACTTTTTAAAATTAATTTTTTTCTTAATTTTTCATTCTTAACCCCTGCAATTGGTTAAGGATGATCCTCTTCCAAGTTCTTCTTCCTCAACTTGGAAGAGGGCAACCAAGAAAATCCACCCACATGTGATATTACCCACCATCCATCAGGGATATTTTAATTTGTACAGGTACTCCTTGCTTAACGACTGTTCATTTAAAGACAATTCGAAGTTACGATGGCCTCAGAAAGGGTGCTTTACCGCCCATAAAGCACTTCCAGCTGCTGTAAAACGCTGCGCTGGCCCCCATGGTCACTTGGCCACATTTCAGGCATTTGGCAACAGCAATCATGTGCTTGCTATTTGCCATCTTCTCTGCTGGCTTCCCCAGAAAGTCAGTGGGGAAGCTGGCAATGGAGGGGATAGAAGGGAGCTGAAATCAGGATTTGAGCTCTGTTCCTGCAGCCCACAGAAGGATTTCCCTTCTGTGCACGGAGGGGAGGGGAAACCCTTCATGGGGCTGCAGGAACTGAAGGGGAAACGCTTTGGCGGGCTGCAGGAACATTTGAGAGTGAAAGGGCTGCCTGCCGTGCAGAGCTGAAATCTGTCAGCAGGCAGCTCTTTCACTCTGTCTGCTTAACGACCGCAGCCGGGAGTGCCCAGATTGTAGTCATCGAGTGAAGTAGTCATGTGGGCGTCTCACTTAATGACCACTTCACTCAACGACTGAGATTCCGACCCCAATTGTGGGGGTTAAGGATGAGGCCCTTGAGGACTACCTGTATTCCTAAGCCCACGGGCCTCATCCAACTCTGAGGATTCTAGGGTTATTTCCCAACTATCAGCTTTGCCTCCTCCAAAAGTGCTCTCCTGGCACCGTGCAGCTTTAAACTTTTTAATCAAATGAAAATCACTATCAAAGCAATTTCATGACATAAAATTGAACCACAGCCCTTCCCACTCTAATCCCAGACTAAAATTTAGGCTACAGGGATTAAACAAACAGATCTTGAATATTAAAACACCACACAATACTTAAAAGCATGGAAAACTGGGAAAGGCTTGTGGGGTGGGAATGATGGCATGGTGACCGCAGGTGGGTTTGCTGGTCAGCCAAGACCACTCCAAAGCCGGCAGGTGGGAAAGTGACACTGAGGCAGTCAGAGCTGATGATGGGTCTCTTCCCAATAGTAGGATGGCAGGAGGCTACCAACGCAGGCGGCCAGGGTCACCCAGGGAAGGGCTTCGCCATCTTCTCCCCTGCACCCATGGATACACATAGAAAGAAATCTATGGGCACGCCAAGACTCTTCCTGCTGTCCCCCTTCTTTTGAAGGAAACCACTCTGTAGGATTTCCAAGTCTGGATCAGGGTGCTGCCCGCTTCCCATCCTTGCCTCTTCTCCTTTAGAACATAGGCACGCGTTTTCTTCCCTTTCTGCAGCAAAACTTTGGCGCTAAGGTTGAGGTGCTCCGTTTTCCAGCCTGACAGCCACACCCGGCCTTTGAATGGACAGACTCCCAAGCGGGACTAACAGCCAAGTGGGCTGGACCAAAGGCACCTCGGGCAGCGCAGAAAACCCAAAGGGTTCTGGGCTTCCAAATGCACCAAGTACTCAACTTACAATGCGACTGGAATTCCCATCGCTAAGCAACGCGGTCATAAAAGTGCAAGCACTTTACTTCGCAATGGCAATCCCTGCAGTCCCGGTTGCCGTCATCAACCAGATCCCATGGTCATTAGGCCAGGCAACTTCCTACCGGCTTCCCACAAACAAAGTCAGTGGAGAAGCTGGCAGGGAGTTGCAAGTCCGAGGCCAGCAGGCAGGTCAGTGGCTGCTGCCAGGTGGGGGGAGGGAGGGAGGGGGTACACGCGAGAGTTGGGGAGGGTGCATGATGGTGTGGTATGGGTACACGAGTGCAGGGGAGGGTCAGGAGGGTGTGTGAGAGGCGTGGCACAGGTCAGGGAGGGTCATAGCGCAGGTTGAGGAGGGTGCGCAGGTGGGTGGGGGAGAGTCATCCCAGCGACGTGAGACCTTCCCTGTCACTTTCCCCACTGACTTTCTGGGGAAACTGGCAGGGAAGGTTGCAAGTGGTGATGACATGATCACAGGGCGCTGCAACTGGTCATACGTGCAAGCCGGTCGCCAAGCACCTGGATTGCGATCACGTGACCACGGGGATGCTGGTATGGCTGGAACTCCAAGGACCGGTTGTAACCACCATTCGTTCAGCGCCAGCATAATTTCAGTCGCCGAACGGTTGTAGGTCGAGGACCATCTGTACTCCTGACTTTAATTCACGCCACACATAGAAAAAGAGGTGGGATTCAAGCAGATAGCTGCAGCCACAATCTTGATTGCTTTGACCCCCTCACTTGGGCTGAACCAAGATTTCATTTTGATTTGTACTTAATAAATCCGTGGATTTCATAACATTCTCCTTCGGTCATATTAAACTTACAATCTATTGGCACCTTCTGGGGGGGGGTGTCTCCAGGGGCCACACCCAAAGCCTTTGGGGCTGTGTCCCTGGACCTCCAGGCCCCCCACCCTGCTTTCCTTAGTCCTGACTTCTGGCGCCAAGCTTTCCTCAGCCTCGGTGCCCCTCTGTCCCCATTGCTGGCTCTTCAGTGGGAGACTGAGCGGGGCAGGGCGATTTCCTTGGCTTCTGGGCCTGGCACCCTCTCCCCGGGCACACCGACAGCCGTAGCAGTGGCTCAAACCTACCGTCTCCTTTGGCAGCCCGCCCAGAATCTGCGTCAGGCTCTTGTGCAGCTGCTCGGCCGTGCATTCCAGGAGTCGGCCACAGCCACCGACAAACAGGGCGTCACCTGAAGAGGGGGAGATGCTCTCAGAGACGAGCCACCAAGCCAGAAGTCCCCTCACGAGCCCCTCAGGCACCTCTGTCACCTGGCAGGCCAGCTGTTACTCCAGAAGCCTCAGCAAGGGCATGCCAACTTCTCACGTTCAGAAGGCACCTGCTTCCATTACAACGCCTTCCTGGCGCCCGTGCGTCACGTTGTGTGAAAACGTGGCTGTGCCGGACGGCCCAGGGGCCTGATGGGAGCTCGCGCTGTTGGAGTCGGCTGGTGGGGTGACCAATACTGCTCCCCCATCATCTTGAATCGTAGATAGTCTTTTTATATAGAATTGGTACTAGTTAATTTTAATACGGATATTTATGTTTTTATTGTTTTTACTGTTTCGGATTCTAATCGTGAGCCGCCCAGGGTGGCCTTCTGGGGGAGACGGGCGGCATATAAATTTAATAAATAAATAAATAAATAAAAATGCTCCCCCATCTGTTTATTCACTTGTTTGTCCAACTTATATCCCACCTTTTCAATGTTGCTCAGATGGTTTCCTTCGTTTTATCCCCGCTACAAACCATCTCATGAGGCAGGCTGGCTGAGGGAGAGGGGCTGGCCCAAGGCTCGTTCAACAAGTGTCCATGACTGAAGACAGACTTGAACACAGGACTCCCCAGATTTAGGCAAATCGCTTCATTGCTACGTTATATTCCGATTCACACGTGAACATCGACCACTGATTGCCCTCTCCAAATTATATTGTTCCTTTCATATCCTCCCCTGCCCAGTTCTGATTACTGGAAACAACCAAGAATCAAAAGGGATGCCGGCTTCCTCAGGAGCTCAACGTGGCTTACACTATTTTTCCTCCTCCAGTTTTATCCCCATAGCAGCAAACCTACTCATCTACCAGTGCTCGCGGCCCACTTCACTTTGTAGCTCTTTCAAACGTCTAAGTGAGCTTTCAACCACCAAATTAAGCCCACCTTGCTTTGTGTATAAACTCTGACCTGTTCACAAACCATGATTAAAGCAAGCCATGGCTTAACAACTAAGGTTAACATAAAGTGTTAATGCCACAATCTTCAGCTACACCTTCTGTGACATAAAGGCTCCTCATCTTTGCCCCACAAGTGACCGAACGTCTCAGTGTGGTAATTACAAAGACTAATTAGCAGCCCTTCCCTCTGCTACTCCGGCTTGCCTTCTTGGGCAAAGATCTTCCAGTCTAAGCCGCTCATGGGATACCGTGCAAATGGGACAAGCGGGTGGGCATTCTGTCAGCTCCAAAATGACAGCTTTATCCTGCCAGAAAAACTGCTGATGATTTGAAGGGGTTAGTGGCTAACAGAGTTAACATCTGGGTGAAGAGAGGATCAGACAGTTGGGCCACCTAATCCAGTTTTGTGCAAAAGTATGTGATTTACCACTAAGCTGTGGTTCTTTTCCTTGGTACTTACATTGCTCCTTTCAGCTAAGGATGCTGGGGAACGGGCCATGTGCAAAGCAGCCCCAAAGGGCTGGAAGTATTCATGCAACATGCTGGTCAGATCATCCGTACATCCAGCAGGTGCATTCTGCTAAGCTTGGTACCCGAATCTTATTGGCTTTATTCATTGGGGTGTCTTCCTATGTTGCGCACACCCTATTGTGTGAACCTAGAAAGTGAGTTAACCCAAAACTGGTTCAACAGCTTTGTGCACAAATTCCCTAGTCCAAAGTTTCCAGCACAACGTCATCCATCACCAGGAGCGTAATTGTCCTTCGTGTTTCAGGACAGACCTGTGAAAGCTGCAGGTGCGTTCAGAGAATCATCTTCCCACATGAAGTAGCAGACGTGCCCCGCGGTGTGGCCCGGAGTGAGAAGGCACCGCACGTTGATGCTGCCAAACTGTGCAAAAGAAAGGAGGATGTCAAAGCCCAACCCTCTACCCCTGCTTGAAAAAGTTCCAGCTGCCACAGGCTTGCTGAGTTCCCACAACTTTCTAGACTAGGCTAAACTAGGGCTGGCTCATTCGTGGTTCAGCCAGCCTTTGCCTTGCCAAGCGCAGTGACCAAGGCCATCCTGGGAAGGCATCAGTTCCTCCAAGGTGACGGTGGAGGGAAACACCCTCTGGCAAAGTCAAGTCACAAGGAAAGCCGAGCAGCCGCAACAGGCTGAGCGCAGACCCTCTGCCACAAAGGTTGACAGGAAAAGGCCGGAAGGTTGGAAACGTCAACTGCGCTCCCCGGCCAGCTGCCAAAAACTGCCCACAGAGAGTGTGAGGGTCAGCCAAAGGAGACCGGGGCGGTGTCTTTGGAGGAGCGTTCCAATGGGCTTGAGGCATCTGTTGCTTCAGGTGGCGACCTTACCCAACGAATGGGATGCTCGGGATGAAACCTAATAGGGTTGTACAATGCTTTGGGTACAACTGGAAGAAGCGTTCCAGAACCTGTAGAGCATGAGCCCAGCTTCTGCCTTTAACTCGTTAAAACATCACATTTTTCCAGGATTGTGTGGTGGTAGCAGAAATCCCCTCGTCCCGTCCATGTGGAAAACAGTATCCTGTTGGGATGGCTCAGGGAATTGGGGGTGGGCGGCACAGTCTTGTCTCCACAGGTTCACCTCCTTTTTTCAGGGCCGGTCCCAATCAATGGTGATAGGGAGCGAGAGGTCCCATCCTCAGCCCCTCCT